TACCACACAAGTAGGAAACTTATGTCCGCTCGAAACGAGCGCAAAGGCAAGGTAGAAAAGTACAAGTTGACTCATCCGTGTTTCATCATCATCATCATCATCATCATCATCATCATCATCATCATCATCATCATCATCATCATCATCAATAACAACAACAACAACAACAACAACAACATAAAATTTATAAAGATAAAGGTTATTTTTTAAAACGAAAACGGCTTAAAGAATAAACGTGCTTTTCTTCTTCCTATTCTTTTTAACCTTTATTTTTTCAATTCCTGTACCATTTATACAATATTTCTTTTGCCTCACAGAATTTCAGAAAAACGTAACATTGTTATTCTAGAATTCTTAGAGCCAGTGTTCTGCTTGTCGTCCTTTGAATTTGAAACATTTTTTACCCGCTGTTCGTGGTGGCCAGACTTAAGGAATCGTTTGGAAAAAAAAAAAAGCTTAAAACCACACACTAGGTTAATTTTTTATTTTTTTACATCACAAAGTGTCTTCTAGATATGATAAGGGTTGGGTGGGATGCCAAGTAGACAGCATACATGTGGAGTTTACATATCCTGTCACTGAACAAAACGTCATTGAGGAAATCCTTTTCGAGACGACCAAGGAATCATGAACACTTTGCCATCCTCTGATCCATGTCAACCTCACGAACACGAACATGATACTGTCACAGACGAAGATCCACCTTGAGAAAGCGGATTGTTGAGGTGTTGGAAAGTCTTGGCCGCAGATATCGTTAGCGCACAGAAGTCTCATGGGACTCGACTACTGAATTCTGTATTCTGGTGATATTTAAAGGGGTGTGAATGGTGCGTTTTCGCCAACAGATGTCATTATGCCAATGGAATTTCAATTCTGATTCTCTATAGATTCAAACGGACGGAACATCGCTATCCAAGACTTAAGCTTTCTTTCTGTAACTTGTGTGAAACTTACGAAATTCGGTGATTATGAATTGGAGGCGAGGTAATGCTAAATACATGTACAAAAAAGCTCTCTGCTCTTTACTAAACTTATCTATGATCTCAGCAGGCAAAGGACACTTGATAAAAACAATATCTGCAAACACCTGTTCAAATGTTAGATTGCTGCAACCTGCAATATGGCGCGACTTTTAGTGGCAGGCCTAATGCGAACTGGTGCGTCATGCTACACAAATGGGGACGAGGCAACAAATGGGTTGTTTTCTTTTGCGCTATACATATCAAAATTTTGTAAGTAGAACTATCTTAAATTAATATCAGACAAACTTCTTTTGACTGCCAAATATTTTGTTCAAATGTGAAACACAAAGCGCCAGTGTTAAGAACAATATTTACAAAAAAAGCTTTACAGTTGTGTGGGTTTTTAAAAAAATCACCAAGTACTTTAAGTAGATCTATACTCCATTCTCCTTACACTTACACGTCTGAAAAATTTTTTCTATCCACTCTGCTAATGACAGTGTGGTCGTCTTGGACACTCGCTTTATTTCATACATCAGTTCTATAAGATCCCCTGTACGGTTGCGGTGCACCAAAGAAAAATCAAGTGGATCCAAGTCTGGCGAATGGGCCGCCCAGTTGTTCCCTGATCTCGTTGACGACCATGGAAAACGTCTTGCACCGCGTGATGAGGGTTGCTCTTGTCGTGGGTGGTGGTACTCATCCCTGTCTCTTGGGCAAGCATCCTGGCTCTCTTTCAGGTTCCACGTGGCCTTCCCCTTGATCTTTTACCCTCTGTCGATTCCAGTCCAACACCTTTGTGATGCATCTGGGCGGCTTCTTGGAATATCAAATGTACAATTCATTACCACTGCCTTTTACCTACTTCATAACCGACTGGCGACATTAAAATTGTATAGGTTTAACGTCCTTTGTAGCACTCTGAGGTTATTAAAGAGGCGGCACATACAAATTTAACGTCCATCTCCGATTGGACTGAGTCAAATGGTAGCCTAACCAGTATTAGATTACAGACGCCACTCCTCTCCTGGGCTGTCTTTGGCGACCCTGTCCGTTCATCTGACCCTGAGTGATTTTCTCAGACACTTATTAATCAAAATTTTAATCTTCTTTATGTAAGTATGAAATGTATTCCGTGTGTCACATCCATGTAACAAGACTGACTTCATATCTGAGTTGAGAATCCGCAGCTGTGTTTGGAGAAAGGCATGTCCCGTTTCAGCATAGAAAATGTGAAATGCCTAGAGAAAAGGGTGGGGGAAACCGTCTCTATATTTTCTTAAAGTGAGAGACATAATTTAAAACGTTGACTCAGCTAAGAGCAAAAGACAAAACAGTTAATATTGGCACTCACACCAACGCACGCACACACACACACACACACACACACACACACACACACACACACACACACACACACACACATATATATATATATATATACATACACACATACACACACATTCGCGCACACACACACACATACTCACACATTCGCACACACATACACATACACACACGCGCGCGCGCACGCACATGCACATGCACATGCACATGTACATGCACAGACAGACATTGATATAGACACTGAGGTACATGCACATAACGGTAACGATGAGCTATCCATGTAAGAGAAGAGCTCTAAGTCGTTGCTTAAGTTCATAACACATGCGCAGTTGATCTAGACGCACAATGTTGTCATCAGTCACTGCTGCTAGAAGGTGAGCGGGTAAACGGTTTCTGAGCCTTTCTTCGACAATCAGCACAACCTGGGCCGGGTTACTGAGGCTCTGAGAGTACACAGCTGACCTGAAGGTGAACTCAGCCCACTGGTCATCTCGGAGGAACGCCGCAGTGACCACAAGAACGATCCTCCAGCTACTTTGCATGGCGTCCATGATAGCCGAAGCTACATACTGGCCTGGCAGACTATCGCGGTCCCTGACATAAGTAGTCAGGTTAAGATCACGTTCCAAAAATGGCAGTAGGTGATGGAAAGGAAAACGATAGTCTCTTTCAGCATAACCAATGGAAACCGCGATTGGGTAGTCCACCCTAGTCTTCATTCTAAACGTCGGGTTAAAAATCCGGAATATGGCAGCCCGGAAGTAGTTACTGTGACGAGAAATGAACACCACGGCCAGGAAGCATGTGACCATCAGTGCCAGAAGCACTAGTGAGAACCACAGATAGAACTTTCCGTAACATATCCGCCATAGAGCTTGCGTGTCTCGGTATGCAAATGTGTAACTGACTTGACCTTGTGCCGTGACACATGAGTAGTTGCCGTTATTGTCCAGTGAAACCGCCGTTTGTGATAGCCACAAGAGAAATGGGACGGCTTCGCAGCCGCAGGACAAGATGTTTTCGTTGAGGACCAGGTGGAAGTCTGCTACTAAGCGCGCATGCGCATCCAGTTGCTGTCGCTGCTTGCGACTCAGCTGAACAACAGCATTCTTGCTGAGGTCCAAAAGTCTCAGCTGTGGGGTGAGAGAGATGTCAAAAGGAATCGTCTGAAAATGATTATCTCTTAGATAGACTGATTCAAGTCTGTGATTGTCTCGGAAAGTTCCTGTGCTTAGCTCAGACAAAGAGTTTGAGGATAGATCCAAACTTTTCAAACAGGTTGTTACACGAAAAAGTCGGTTGCTTTCCCTGGACATGAAAAGCGCGTTGATATTGGTGTGAGAAAATATCAAAGTTTCAATTCCAGTAAAATGTTCAAAAGCTCTAAGTGTTACATTAGAAAGATCATTATACGAAAAATCTAGATTTTTAATGTGCTCAACCCCAAACACTTCACCCGTGAAATCTTTAAGTCCTTTATGCCCGTACCTCAACACGAAGGTCTCCAGGCTGTGAGCATTCATAAGCCTTCTTTTACGGGACATGGAAAGAGATCCGTAATCAAAGTGAAAAATGACTGTTTTTAGATTTCTGGAAACGTATAACTTCAAGATGCCATCTGTCTGGTGTTCGTCGTTTAGGAATGGCAACTCCCTACTTTGACAAGACCGCTCGTGGGATTGTTTGTTCTGTCTACGCTTCAAACTCTTTGCTCTGTGAATCTGTGAAGGTATTTTGCTCTCAAGGGGTGTTAACATGACGCGTTTCTTGCGGTCGAGGCTGGTCATCATGTTTTCGTAAAGCTTTGAAATAAAAATAATTGTTTCCAGATTTGGTGAAGACAACAAACGATACAAAGCCGGTATAGTTCCTTGAAGATTATTTCCTGTCATGTCCACATACTTAAGACATTTGGAAAGACGACCACAAAAAGCTGACACTTCTGTTACAAAAATGTGGTTTTCTAGTAGTAAAACTCTTTCCGCGCATATCTGCTTTAGATAGACCATAGAACGACCATCAAGTATACCGTCTCTGTCAATGATGGCTCGACCTTCCTCTTTTCTTGTGACGCCTACACCACGGAAAGAAATTTCATACATATTACAACCCTTGAAAGGCTTCAATATCTTCAAGGCATTTTACAAACCAACAGGAACGTTGTCCATATGAAACAAACGTAAACTGTTTCTTAACGGATTGAGTGAGTCAAGCTCAAATGCAGATAAATATGGTAACTCGTGTATAGATAGTTCTACTAAAGTGAGGCAGGTAAGTCCGTCGAAACTGGAGTTTCGTATTACTCTAACTGACCCTGATATTTCCAAACGAGACAGATCCTTCAGCTGGCAAAATTCGGGGCCGAAATGTAGAATCTCACCTAATGTTGGGATGGAGAGGGCGTGCAGACCACTCACGTTGAAAATAAAATCTTCAGGATATGACGACGACAAGTGTTCGCTGCGTTGGTGCGCCAGTCTAAGCGTTTTCAGCTGTGTCAACGGAGAGAATAGTCCAGGCGGGTAGGACTCGCTGGAGAGCTTCAGTTGGTTGTACTCTAAGTTCAGATACTCTAGATGAACCAGATTCTCAAAGGTGGACTGCTCAATTCTTTCAATCCGATTGTTACGAACACTCAACCAACGGAGTTGAAGGAGATGAGCAAAAGATGTGTTGCGAAGAACAAGTAAGGAATTTCCTTCCAGTGACAGCTTTTGCAAGTCACAAGGAAACCAGTCGGCTGTAAGAACCTGGATGTTTCTCCGACTGCAGTTCGCTTCGATACCTGTTTGACCAGTGCTCTGTGAACACGGCGATTTGACTCTTTGGATGAAATCTTGGCTTACACTGTGATTCACAGATATACAGCGTGCCCAAGACACAGTCGATGACTTAGACGAACTGGTCACGATAGCCATAGTAAAAGAAATCCACATAACCGTCAAGGTCGAAGCGCCAATGTGCAGCACAGAGAGCAGAGACGGAATCGCGAAGCGCCTGAACATTATTGCTGATTGTCATAATATTATCACTACGCGAAATAAAACATTTCACAGTGGTTGTACAGACAAAATTTGCTCTAATATAAGATCTGTTACGCAATGGCAATAACTCTGTTCCTAAAATCATTGACGTGTTTCCCATGTCAGTAGTGTTTCGAAATCGTGCCGGTGTAAGGTAGAATATTTACCCTCTAGAATTTGTTCTCCAGGGTTTTCCACATTGTTAGGCGCCGCATGTTCGATCAACAATAATTACGTAGAATTTATGATGAATCAATAAATGAATAAATA